TTTTTTTAATCAAATTAAGCGTCTCGCAAGATATAAAGTTAGGGAAGATTTTTTCATTGACATAAAAAATTTATCATCGATTTCCTGTTATCGTTATCGTCTAAAGCGACGAGCATCTTCAGCTAAACATACCGACGAGCATCACTACTGGCGGGGTAAATATGCTAGGGTGGCTCGGTCGAGTGGTAGTCTGCGGTAGATAAGGGGATTCCACGCGGTAACTTCGAACGTCTCGATTGGCGGCTATTTGGAGAGAACGGACGTTCTCAGCTGGAGCTCTCATGTCCGAAGGATGTTCGCAGTCCGAGATAGACCGACACCAGTACCGTTCGATCGTTCGATCTTTTGGAAGTAAACATGGATTAAAAAAATCCATTCAAGAAAAAACTTGAATTCTTTATATTTTATAAAAAAAAAGAAAAAAAAATTAAAATAAAATAAAACGAAAGCTGTGCATCTGTGCGAAAGTAAACATCTGTTAAATAAATATATAAAAATAAATTCTCGTAAGCGCCGCGATTTTTATAAATTTTATTCATTTTTATTAAAAAATATATCGAAGATCATACACAATATCTGAGGTGCGGTATCGGATTTGAGTATTATGAGTATTATGTGTTTCCCCGATAAAAAATGGTCCGCGATCATTCCACCTTCGTCGAAGACACAGTGCAGCACTGTCCATCGAGGATTTGTCACGCGAGCCCCAGGATACTGGTTCCTGTTAATCGTAAGTGCGTTTTTTGTCTGTGGCTTATGGAAGACCGGATCGGTCGGCCGTTGGGGTTCCAGCATGCGCGCGAAAGCGTTGATCCACTTCGATCTGTCGATCCCGTCGTCCTCATCAACCTTGTCCTCGTCATTGTCGTCATCGTCGACATCGTCGTCATCGACGCCGCGTCGACTTGCCCTCGACAGGAGCAACGCGAGACCCTCGCCCGACGCCGCACGACGGAAACATCGGGGCATCCTGTCTAGGTACATGCTGCAGCTCTATCATCGGCGCCCGGATGCTGACGTCGTCCGCGCGATCCAACCGGTGCACACTTCCGGTCCGCTCAGTGATGGCGGCAGAATCCTGGAGTTCGCGATCCCGTCCGTCGACGTGGACGAGACGCTGGAGGCTGCAGAATTGTTGGGGATAGCCGGCGCGATAATCAGGGTGCGATCGTTGAACGATCTGCCGACGATGAACACGAGCGAGGAGATTCGGAGATCCAGGAAGGACGACGCCTGGCGGGCCTTCGATGTCACGTCCCTCGTCGCCGGCAGGAACGGCGGCGACGTCGTCAAGCTCTACGTCCACGGCAGGTCGACGTATCGCCCTTACGGCGACAGCCCGATTCTTTTATTGAATTACAGCAAGACCAGAAACGTCCAGTCGCGCTATCGTCGGTCGGCGGAGGAGCAGGAGGATCAGGATCGTTGGAAGGACGAGGCGCCACGAAGACGACGTCGCAACAGTTGCCACCGACGTTCCATGTACGTGGACTTCGCCCTGATAGCGTACGACGAGTGGATCGTCGCACCCCCGGGGTACGAGGCTTATCAGTGCTCCGGCAAGTGCTTCTTCCCGTTGGGTGATCACCTCAGCCCGACCAAGCACGCGATAGTGCAGACATTGATGCACGGCGCTTTTCAGGCCAGCGAGAACCTCGCCGGCAGCAAATTCGTCGGTAGAGCTTGCTGCGTGCCCACCAGACTGGCACCCACGAGTCTGCTCTACCTGGATGCCAGGGGTACTTTGACCTATGAGTACGGTTACGAAGACATGGTCGTCTCCGAGTGCGGTTGTCGCTAATCAATGACGCTGGACGAAGAATGTGTGTGTCTTTCGTTTCTTTGTTTTTTTTTTTTTATTAACAGAATCACAACGCTTGTCTGTGTCATAGCACAGGGGAACAAGCTTACAAGCAAAATACAATACAATTGAACCCAGATGCGTAAAAATCTTCAAGGAAATGAAAAAACGCATTGTATTCCCATTGTGTAACAAAAGTAAAATTAACATAACGAGATGAATCAGAGATTAACTATATTTTATAATTTTTATGAATAACAGGGATATGAAGTGCAGTTTTCAAAGATTTTTTATTATTATTATTTTATATTTTTTATATTATTATATTTATTATATTTATTATATTTATTATTATTTTATTATCTAAAATTTTGACAATATTAATCTCGTACGGGATCAATATTGGGTAACGAAGTACGTTCGGTTAACTTTAAACATCGAGGTTCAAGTGTAACACTATCCATCGATTTAAACACGTTGTCGTATAATATAGTCAGAGTTCACCCTTACACTATCGAGGTTCACAATGGTAAAAAGAGAAAAAAAAACAGTTTCATAGTCCAGTTTCATAGTTATAAATTATGTATAATTAAAAAAGTCCCATTGAGCAATCTTTGCGCTACTTTGCGTTAACTGAACGCGAACTTCGCGCACATCTCGTTGTTCTTTTGATTGAGCCTGTAGGACCTGCCGGGTGAGTGAACCTTCGACCATTGCGTTTTCCTCAATCTATGCCGGCTGCCGGGTATTCTCTCGATCTTGTAGACCTGATGCTTCACCGTGGTGACCGGTTGGCTTAGTCTCATACAGAGTGACACCGGCCCGGAAAAGTCCACGTCGGTGGACAGTTCGAGTTTCGGCTCCATCGCCAGTGTGAATTCCGATTTGCTCTGCACGAAGCTCGTGTGCACCCTGGTGCCGCCGTGAATCATCACGCCGGCGTCCATCTCCACCAAGGATTGCGCGTTCCTCGACCACAGGCTCAGCTGGATCTGGCCGGCCAGGTCGAAGCTCACGGCCCCCTGAACGTCAACCTCGGCGACGAAACCGGATCCCAATGGCACATATTCGCTATGACTATACAGGGAAGCGAGGGCCTGGAAGGCGGGGGTCCTCTCGGACGCCGTGCCGGACCAGACGTGGCCCATCAGCTCGCCTTGACCCGAGAAGAAGACGAACGGTCGTATCCCAACGCCGAGAAGATCTATCTCCATTCCAGCAGTGGCCACGTCGTCATCAGCCTCCGCTCCTTCGTCCTGGCTCGAGACAAAGCTGCCGAGGCCGCTGGCGAACAGTCCCAGCGAGAACATTGCTTGCCGTTGCTCGTTACTCTCCAACACGACATCTACGATGCCGCGCTTCAGGAGGCCGGAGTACACCTCCTGAATGGTAACCAGGGAACCGTTGACGTTGGGCGAGCGCAGGAAGTTCCTTGTAAAGGCGGTGCTGAGACCGCGCTGCGCTTGCACATGATAATTGTTAATCGTCGCGTTGGCGTTCGCGTACGTACTCAAGTACTCGGCGAATCGCGCGTTCCTCTCGGCAATTTGTTCCAGACGTTGATTCAGGTACTTGCGGACCTCGTAGGCCGGGTCGTTGCCGCTCAAGTACTCGACGAAGTCGCGCAGGACCTGCTCGGAGGGCTCGTTCTCGAGGAGGATGTCCAGCGCGATCGTTCGCGCGCTGCTGTCCCTTCGCGGACCTCCGATCTGATAGAAGACCCTCCGCGCCGCATCCTTCAGCTCGTCAGTCACGGCCTCGCGCGGAAGAGCCAGCAAGGCCCGCCAGGCGGCGACACTGACGGCCTTGCTGTCGCTCAACGCGTGCACCAGCAGCGTGGATATCGCCGCCGGGCTCTTCAAGTTCCGCAGACCTCGTAGGAATTTAATCTTGCACTCCTCGCTGGTGCAAGTCTCCAGACCCAGTTCCAGGCTGACTCGCGACTTCTCGATCATCGTGGCGGAGCCGTAATGCCACGCCATCGCGCCTGCCGCAAGTGCGTAAGTCTCGGACACCTTGTCGTTTTGCATCGTCTCCTCGGAGCGTTTGAGGACGTCCTTGACGACGTCTATATGCGGCGTCGGCGAAAGGGACAGGGCCCAGAGGTATCTCTCAGTCTCGTCGCCGGTCTCGTCTTGCCGCAGTATCTTCATGGCGGCTTGATGAGCGGGCAACGTAGACGCGGCGCCGAATACGTCCAGCAGTTGCATCTTCATCTGCCGATAGCGTGGAGCCTTCAAGATTTTATGCAGCTCTTCGGGCGAGGCGGTCCTGACTAGAGGTAGAAGCTTGAGGAAAGCCGACGCAGATTTCGCCGTGCCTAGCGCGGAAGTGGTTAACGCCTCGCGATATTCTTCGATCGCCTGATCGATCTGCAATGAAATACGTATTTAATAATATGAAGTATATATAAATAATAAAATTCATATATTTAAATATATAAAATGTTTTTATTGTATCAAATTTATCAAAATATTTTTATTACATCAAATTTATAATTTTATCAAATAAGCAATTTATTATATCAAATGTTTATTAATAGTTATTAATGTATTATTCGATGTTTTAAAAAAGTAAATGAGAGTAAATTAATGTGTTAAACGTGATGTTAATCTCTCTGAATGTATATTAAAACTTTAGAAAACAATAAAAGAATTATTTTGTTTCTTAAAACGGTCTAACATTGCGTTCGCAACAGAACATTTAAAATTCTTAACTCTCTGTGTAGTATACAGTGCATAACAATGCAAATATAACAGACAACGTTACGCAATCACCGAGTTCTTATTTATTATTTTTTTTTTTTCAATTTTATGCGTTGGAACGTTCTTTTTATCGGTAATTATATTTATCTATTCCCGCCGTCCAAGAACAATGGAAGCAGACGTCAGGGCGGGCTAGAAAAGTTTACCGTAGGACATCCAGCGTCCGGACATATGGCCGACACCGGTTGCAGCTCGATCTGGGCTTCTTTGTATTCGGGCTTGAGCAGCATCACCGCGTGCCTCGCGGAATCCGCCTGGACCACCGTCGCGCTCAGAGCCTCAGAGCCCGTCTGCTTCAGCATTCTCTCCGACACGACGTTCGTACCGACGTCGGATTTGGACACCAAGGTCATCCTGTGCAATTCATAATCGAGCACGTGCTCCGGTAACAGCGACTGCGTCAGCACGTACGTGGAATTGCGATAACTCTTGAGTTTGACGGCGAACACCGGGTTCGGGTGCTGCCTCGGCGGCGGTAATGTACTGTGTACACAGGCAGTCTTCAGTTTCTCGATAACGTTGTCTCCGGATGTCACATAGGCCACGTTGCAGAGACCGGAAGCGTCCCGTTGGCGCACCTCGTCGTCGAGCGTTCGATACTGGAAGAGACTAGCTAGACCGCGTTTCAGGTTCGCGGATGACGCACTCTCGGCCGGATCCATGTACACGGCCTCGACGTCGCCGTGTCGCCAGACCACGAAGAAGGGCTTCTCGGCCACCTCCTCCACCTTGGACGAGTGCTCGACGAACCCCTCTGGCTCCGGAGCTCGCCGGGACTTGATCCATAATTGCGGTGACAGTAACTAAAAGAAAATATTGGAGCATTAGTTATAAAGAAATATATCACAAATTCATTATTTATGTGAAAATCGTGAAAATCCTTAAATATGCATAAATTGTGTCTGCTCGATTTAAAAAAAACTTTCGAATGACCCTAAGTGATATGATTAAAAATATTTTATCGATAATTAATAATTACTATGTTAACAGTAGTATGACGTGAGTTCACTTGAATAGTAATATAATATTAAATTCAATATGTGAATTGTATTTGCATTAATAAATGATATTTTATAATTTAAAATTTTTCTCGATATTCGATATATTTTCAGTAAGGATTAGATTTTCTGTTTTCATAATGCATAAAGATATATAATGATATATTATATGTATTTAATCGGTGATTGCATAAAATTTGTTACCAACTGATTTATTAATAAATTATTTTCAAGGCTTCTTTTTCGAGAATAATTCCAGAAACATTTTATCACTTTCTCAGATAAAGGGTTATCAATATCCACTGCAAGTCCGGCACGACCTTCCTCAGTATCAACGAATATGTTTTTCAAAGCATTGAAATCTTCTCGGAAGTTTGGTGCTTTGTCTTGCACTTAACTACAAAGCCTTAAAGATAAATGAACCTTAAAAGTAACAATGATATGCCATGTACATATTCCAAAGCGTCGACTTATCTGGTCGTGAATTCCGTTTATAATTGATTATAAAATTGCGCATATAATAAGAACAATTGATAACGAACGTATCCATATGGAATGCAATATATAATTATTATATTTTTATGAATAATTCCTTTTTTCTATATTATATTTGCGATAATATAAATATTTTCAGAGAAAAAAATAATCACCAAAAAAAAAAATAAATTATGTATAGAAATATTTATTTTTTGAAAAATTAATAATTATTTATTATGAATAGTTATTTCTAATTCACAAATAAATAAAATAAATATAATAAATAAAATATATAAAAAAAGGAAATCACACACTAATTTTCTCTCTCTCTCTCTC